GCTGTTCTTGTCTTTCACATGTCCTCCTCTAATATACAATCCCTCTCTCTAGGTTCTCTTCAAAGGTTGGTGGATCACAATCATCTCTCTTTACAGTTCTATCACCTTCTTTTCAAACTTTTGCCTGAAGTTTGGCATTTTTTCCAGCTGCATCTTTAGTACTTAACACTTCTCTTCTGTGAAGCATATAATTTATCATATATAAATAGCCTCAATCAGATAGCCACTCAAAAATAATAAGCTTCCAGCAGCTTTTCCATCCAGCTATCTTCAGTCTCCTCCCCTCTTCAGGTTTTTTCTATTGCTGCATTAACAGACAAGCTGTGTTTTCTCTTTGCCTTAAATTCACAGCTCAGAGGAGGGGAAAAAAAAACACAACCCACAAACCACTTCCTCATAGATCTTAAAGATTTCTATCCTGTTTGCTAGCCTGTGCCACTTTTTCTCTCAAGCTTTTGTTTAGGTCAGTCCTGCCATCTAATTGTCATTTGGCAGCTAACTGTTCATCAGCCCAGATCAAAGGCAGGGAGTATATACACACTATCTGATGCAAAATATCTGAACAAACACCCTCTCCTTCCAAAAGGACAAAACAGCCAAGTAACAAAGAAACAAATTCTCTTACTGGCAAAAAATAAGGTTTTGCTTTTTCTTCATGCAGCAGCTTCCTACAAAATTTCTTGTGCACCTCTCTGTGTCTTCTGGCTTTCACTGAGCATAAAAAGTCCTGCCAATTTTCACCAGGCCACTCACGGCTTCCAGATCTTATGTGTCAACAATTAAAATATTTATTCTTATGGAGGAAATTCCTTTAAATTGAAGAATACAATCATGGATTCTTCATATGTCCATCAATAAAATCCATAGCAAATCTTTTCAGCCTATACCAAAATACTCTCACTTTGCAGATGTCCTACTCTCCTAATGTCTGGAAGAAGAGCTAGAACTTGTTGACCATCTCCACAATTACTTTCCTGCACTTTGAGCTCTGCATTAGTGTAAGGATTAAACTTCAAAAAGTACCATCATGCAGTTCATCACCACAGTCAAAGTGTGTCTGGAAACTGTCATCAAATAGATGCATAGAACCACCACGCTTAAGTTACTCTTAGAAAACATTTCCATAGCTTAGTGGCTAATAACCTATCACCATAATTACAAGATAATCCTGCATCCCACTGTTTTGTACTTCATCTGACTTGATGAGGACAAATAAACCAGAAAAGTAACATATGGAGAGAGACTAAAAATTGAATATCATATCCCTGTGCTATATCAGCAAGAGCTAAACAAAGCACATCAATAGCAGTCAACAGTTGTAGCCTGGGTCATCTGGTCACAAAAGCCCATATTATCAAGACTGTATTCAAATATTTTAATCTTACTAGTTTCCCTCAGGAATGAAGGATAATATGCAAAAGCTTAAATTCTGCTAAAAGGTGAGATTCCTCTACCTACAAGCACAGCATGCCTATGATAGTTATTTAATTAAGAGATACCCTAATGAAGGGTATGCAAATGGCAAGCCAATAATCTCATTCCTAAGTGGGTATGCTGGAAAGCCAGTAACAGCACAGAGAACAACCTCTACACATATATTTCCTTGTTAAGCTAAACACTAATTTGAATATTTGTTATTAATTAAAACAAACCAATTTTTTCACTTGTTCAGTGCGATATCACCTTCCTGACTTATATTACCAAACCTTCATGAATAAAGTCCTCTAAAATCCCCTTTTTTGTTGTTGTTAATGCCATTATTTCTTAATTGTGAAATAAGCTGTAATTAATTGTTCTCCCCCTGCTCTCCTATTTTTGCACATCTGCCCTGCTCCCAACTAAGTGCTAATAAGCAGCTCAACTGTTGATGGCTGCTGCAATCACTTCCAAACAACCTTGTGCATTTCCAGGCAACATAGCATGGGTTGGAAAGCAAGAGGCAGTCTGGACAGATGAATAAACTACACTGGTAATTTGCCAAAACAGATGAAAGAAAGGAAAAATAACATACTCAGGGTGCAACTGCAAACCTAACTTTTATATGGACCTTCAAACCGGACATGGTGGTATCAAACAGAACTAGTCATATCTGAAATTATCACTATTCTATATTTCATTCAGTCATGAAAGCTTCACATTCCTGATGAGTAGAAAATGTAAGACTGCAGTAACAAAGATGAAAGCAAAACAAAAGTTGGAATTATTTTTCACACAGGAAAATGTGTGGTTATTATTCCCCCCTCACTCCCCCTCACTATTGTATTGGAATTCCTTGTTCCTAAATTATTTCATTGCTATGTTTATTGCTATGTCTGAATAAAATATAAACTGCCCCACTGTGCAATCTCACAGAGATGTGACCAGGACCGCTCATTACAGAGGAGCACAGAAGGACACTGCTCACGGTGTTGGGCAGACAGGGTGAGTTCTCGTGAGCCCCTGCGGCATGAGACAAACTCTGCTGTTCCCATCACAGCAAACTTACAAGTCCTTAGCCCTGACTGCTGGCAGTTACATAACAAAAGTTTCACCCAGAATCTGCTTTCCTTTCTTCTTCCTTCTCATTTTTAAAATTCTATTATAACATGCAAATTATCCATTCTCTATATGTTTTCTCTCTTCCCCAAAACACTATAGAAGCCACAGCTACTAAATACATCTGCAATGTCCCTTCACTGTGATTACAACAGACCAGAGACGGCAAAGTTTAAGTTCAAGAGAAATTCATACACATCAGAAGCTGTAATTTATCAGTCCATGTAGTGCCCTGTTGAGGCTTCTGAAGATAAGCCCTAAAATATTGTGGAAGAGGAAATAACTGTGTTTCTCATGCTTCACAGAAATAGGCAACTAAATGAATTTTTGCAAATTCATGAAGCTACGTACAGTTCACAATAAACATCTAAAGTTAAATGAGACAGATGATCAACTTTTTCTACAGTTTGCGCAGGATCTGAAACAAGTACATGAATTGGGTGTCTAAGGCTCTCTAGATTAGTACAGACTATTCTATTTCTGAAGACTTCATGGCCTACCTTATGAAGATCTGTGACATGTCAAAAAGACCCAAAAGAATTGCTTTTATTTTCAGCATTGACTCCTACTGAATTTTTTTAGTTAGGGAACAAACAGACTCTCTTCCCTACTATCAGTATGTCTGAGGCTCCAAACCTTTTTAGTTATGCTTTGTGAAGCATTCAGTTGCAAATTACTGCAGTTGACCCAGAATATTTCATTCCATTATTTTAAATATCTCTAAAATTTTTGTCTCACTTGACAAATATAGACTCTACGTTACTACTTGCAGTACTCATGTCTAGATACTTAAATTAGAAATATAGTGAAAAAAATTGTATTTAAAGACTTTTAAAACTGATGACATCTCAAAGTATTTCAAGGTGCTGATCATTTGCAGTTCCTATAATTTAAACATTAGTTGAGGATAAGTATCTCAGGGCCTTTGAAAAATAAACTGCCAGGTGCTTTTACACTTCTGTGTTTGTACATCATCTAATGCACTTGTGATCCCTGACTAGCATTTCAGGAACGATAACAAATCAAGATGACAAGATGCTAGGAAAATGTTTAAGTACAAATAGGACACGATTCATCTCATTTTGCTTAAGGAGCCTCAGTTACCAGGACTAGCATTCTAAACTCCCAATAAAAATACTTAATGAAGGCACTTCTAGAGAGCAGCTCAGACTACCTCAGATCTAAAAATTCAGTGTTCACAAGCAGTAGCGGTGGAAGGGGGCAGGGAGAAATAGATCAATAACAAAAAAAAGAAAGACTATAGATCTGCATATAAGTAACCTTTTTAATTGTCTCACTGCTTTAAAATTGCACAACAGAAGTCTTAAAAATTAACTATTTATCACTAACATATTAACCAACAATATTTACTTTAGTTATTGATCATTAATTCTCAAACACTGAAATGTGCAGGGAAAAGTTCAGAAATAGCTTTAGAAAGTTTAGGACACATTAAAAAACACTTCATAAAGATGGAAAAACTTACGGAAACTTATGAGATCAGTATAAATTATTGATGGGGAAAGGGGAGAAAATTAAATCTTCATAGATTATTCTTTCTTTTTATTGATAGGAAAACAACCCTTCCTAATTATTAAAGTAACTTATTAGGTGCCAGCTGGCTAAATTATACATCGATCACAGAGTAAAAGTCTGCCCTCTAGTTGTTTTATTTAGCTCCAGCGATCATATTGGTTGGAATTAGGAAATTAGGAATTAGAAAATTAGGCTGTATAGGCCGACATGTCATTAACACACCTACTAAAGTCAGAGCTATGCATAGCAGTCCCTGTTTCAAAACTGCCAACATGCAAAATATATTCATGTAATTACAACTTCTGATGCCTAAATGGCCATTTGAACAATTATTGGTATTTTAGTTTTAATGATTTTGTATATACAAGCAGTATATCTGAAGTTCTGGAAAAGTGTCTGTTAGAACTCTTGTCTATCTGGTTGCCTGCAGACACAGAAAAACTTTCCACTTCTTTGTCAGGGCTTTGTAAACAACAAAAAATAAAACTGAAAACACCTGCAAAGACTTATATTATCTTTGGACACTAGAAATTAACTAAAGAATGAAGAAAAGATGGTTTTACATGTAATGCCTTATGAATTCCTTCTAGGTCTTGAGAATAGGAACAAGATAATCCACACTATGCAGTATGATATTCTTCATAACATTCCTGGCCTAGATTTTAGCCCCAGTCTAACACATAGACACACAGGTAGGCAGCAACCTCTGCTGAAGATAGCAGCTGCATGAAAACATACGTCTCTGATCAATACTTTTTACCAAAATGTATGCTGTTAAAATCTGCCATGAATACTAAGACATTTTCTTCTGTCTACACAATATAGACAGTAAAACAATCTTCTCTGTTCAGTTTTCTGTTTCTTAATTTTGTCTGGGATATTACTACCAACATGATAGGCATTACAAAATTTTAAGAGAAATAGATCGATTACTTAATATCAAAATTTGATCCAGTTCTTTGTTGACTTACCTTGCCAACAGATCTGGGGAATGGTGGTCTTTGATTTTCAGGAATTAATATTGGAGTTGCCAAAATAGCCCTTTTTTGTCTTGGAATTCCAAGGTTGCCTTCTATCTTAAAGATTTCCTAAAAAACAAAAAGACCAATTACAAAGACTTTCAAAATAATATTCAGTTGTTATTTTCATTCCCTGCATCTTTAGGCAAAATTAACATGCACTACCAGATTCTAGGCTTTGTATTATATGTTTTCCAGCAATCAGTGATAACATATCAAACTATATTTAAATCTCTCAGGTTACTCCACTTATTACAGTGACAGTGGATAGGCCATATTCATTTTGTATTCCTGTAGACTAGTTTTAATCCTGTGTCTACCATCCTAACCTGATGACTGCTTAAATCATAAATCCTAAACAAGGTCTAGCTTACCTCAAATACTTGCATGAGACCTGTAAAAAGCCACACTTTAAATGTCTTACATAATTTTCACATCTCAAGTCACATTTATACTCAGTCACTTCTCGGTCCAGGCTTTTAATCAAACAGAACTTAGAGGTGAATTTGCTGAGACTGTCCCCAGCTAATGATATCTCAATAAACACCAAAAGCTTGTGACTGAAAAATAAAAATAGACACCAAAACCCAGGTATAACTTAGAATATCAGCTAGTAGGGGTTTTTTGTGTTGGGTGTTTTGGATTGGTTTTTTTGGGTTGGGTGTTTTTTTTTTTCTTCTGTGAGAAAACTTTATGCTACTATATCAGAAAGAACAAAAGTAGAAGTGGTATATACACAAGCCTTCCTTTTCCTGCTGCATTTTCTGAAGTATTTAGCTCTAGCTGAGCTTCAGGCAATTCAGCACTTTATGAGCTACAGCAAACTCTTCACAGTGGCCTCTGGCCCCTAGAAAACTGTCCATCACACCTTTGCCTTCCCTCCCCTTCTGCTCTCTGATCATCTCAGCGCGCTCTCTGCATGAGCTGCAGTTTCCCAGAGACCACCCCCTTCCTTTTGCTTCCTCTTACAGTCTCTGCAACTCTCTTCTCCAAGCACAGTTACTACCCAGATCAAAAACAGCCTCTTCCCATCTCCCAAAGCTCTCCCCTTGATCCAGGCCCCTTTTTGGGGAGAAAAAAAAAAAACAACCAAAAAACCATACAAACAAAAAAAACCCACCAACCAAACAAAAAAACAAGAAACCAAACCCAAAACAAAGCAAAGCATAAATTTGTACTGTGTTGGGAATTATGAAACTGAAAAAGATTTAGATCATACTATTCATTCAGGTTGTCGTGACAGTTTTACAGAAGAAATCATAGGTTGAATTAAATGTCTAATTCCAATAAGGTAGTTACACCCTACAGGTGACACTTCTCTCTGCTCTGTTAATGCAGAAACTCCAGAAACCTAAGTTTCTCGGACAGTTCTGGAATCCATGTTGTTGTTTTAATATCTGCTGCTTTACTACGTAAGGAGAGCTCCATCCCTAGGCTGTATTTTTATAAAACTGCAAAGCTGAATGAGTTTTCTTAGTGGCACAATCTGGACATCCATCAGTCAAGAACTCCACAGGCTGCTCCTGCTGCCACCTGTATAGGTGCCTCCCATCTAATGAGTCTATCATCACCAAAACCCTGCTCTACCTCTACTAGCTTTAGCATCATTTTTTTCAAATTTGACAACAAACAGCAGCAAGGGAAACTCAAGCCTTCAACAGTCAACTTTAGACATGATAAAGCCAAAGAGCCGTGGAAACCATGGAGAGAATCCCTTCTCACAATTTTGCCAATTTTCATAACTTTTTGAGGCTCACCCTGACACAGAGTTCCCATCTCTCCCAGAGGCTTTGCCACTTCTCTCTAATCTTTCAGTCTGCAGGCCACTTGGGTCCCTATTTTTGTCTTTCAATTCCTCTCCCAAAAGAATTTTCCCTAATAAAAATTCATGAGAAAGTTCAAGATAAAAACATTTGAAGTGTCAAATAAAAAGCAAAGAGCTGAATTCTGTCCAAAGGCAAATGCACAGAGCAGTAAGCTTTCAAAATCACTTACACTGTAAACATAGCAGACCGTTTGGCTGGCATGCGTCTGTGACATTTCTAAGGAGAGTAAAAGTGACTACCAGTCTGTCTAAAAGGAAATATCAGTTCTTTAGCTCAGCAGCAGCAGTGCTCAACTGATCACAATTTTCACTCGTGCTGACTCCTACCTTCATGGTTGCCCTTCAGCTCACGAAAATGTAAGGAAGAATTCCCAGATGCATGCTCTTTGGAAATAAGCAAGATATTTATTCAGACTTACTTGTCTTTGTACCATAGAATGGTTTGGGTTGGAAGGGACCTTTAAAGGTCATCCAGTCCAACCCCACTGCAATGAGAAGGGACAACTTCAACTAGATCAAGTTGCTCAGAGCCCCGTCCAACCTGACCTCAAACGTTACATGTTTCTTTCTATGCTAGTTTGAGGAGTAAAAGGAATTTTCAGATTGTTCAATATCTAGATCGCCCAATTTTGATAGTCATAGACCCATAAGCAATTAATTCATCACTTTCTCATGACAAGTTATCCTTACACTTTCCCAGAAGGTCCACAAATGGAAGAAAAAGCCAAATTATATTCAATAAGTCAACACGGCAGTCATTAATACAAAGAAGCAAAATTCTAAAGGAAAGCAGAAGCGTGGTAAGACTTAAGGCCTTCAAGTCCAGATTTCCGAGCAGGACTTTGGAACAAAAAAGGAAAAATAGTATTATTTGTTTGCTTGTTTTTAAACACAATTGGTCTGTTGCATAGGACCGGAAGGAGGATCTGGGGAACTACAGGCAGGTCAGCCTGACCTCAGTGCCAGGGAAGATTATGGAGCAGTTCCTTTTGAGGGTGCTCACAAGCCATGTCCGGGACAACCAGGGGATCAGGCCCAGCCAGCACGGGTTCATGGAAG